TATTTGAAAATAGCTCAGCTCAATTTGCAGCCAAACGGAATGTCTGCGCCACAGTTTGTTTGTTGTCTACTTTTGTCACCTATATACAATTTGTTGTCGAATGAACAATATTTTATTTTTTCGTTTCTTTTTTTTTCTTCCATTTGCAATCGGACCACAGTTGTATTTCGGCAGTACGCACTCGGCACACATTTTGATCACGGTAACGCTAAAAATGAATATCCACGACGAACGAGTGAAACTGCTTCGCCCCAGCGGATGGCATGATTTTTTGATCGTCGAGCGGATGGCAGTCGCGAATCAACTCGAAGATTTGCACCGTCGAATCGAAAATGCGGTCCAGAACGAGCCAAGTGTGACGGCCGTAAGACGCAATACCGTCTATGCCGCTATAGTGGAAGACAAAAACCACTACAGACGATGGCGACGACTTCTGGTAGTATCGTATAAGCGAGGCCAACCAATTTTGTCGTGCATGGACGTCAACGGGGTGCTTGACTTCACGCGTGATAGTGATGTCCGCATAATTCGCGATCGGAACATCTGCTCCCTATTGCCTGGCCAGCTGAAATTTTTTATTTATGGCGTGCGTGTGGCTGAAAATGCAGACATCGCTGATAACTTGAAGCAAATTGAATTCAAAGAAGTCCGCGGTGTGTTTCGGCTGCGCGCACTGAAAAATGACCGAGCCGATGAGGTCTATGTCGGCGATCTGTTGTACGAGGATGACGGCAGATTGGTTTCATTGCGGCAGCGTCTCATCGCCGAGAATGTCCTCGAACCTCGCCAAATGAACCGGGATGTGAATGCCGACCTGTACAATGCAGTGGATGGCATCTTTCTGCAACGCCGTTTAATTAACGCCCAGCAGCGAGCATTGCAACAGTGTAACGGAACGTACATGTATGCATTCATGCATACGAAGCTAATTATGTTAATACGTGAATAAAGAAATCAGTTCATACTCAATTCCTGTCGTGTTCACACGTATCATTCATTCACTCTTTATTATAGCGGGCCTGCCGCATAAGGCATTAACAATACAAGTGATACTAGGTGGATTGAAAATGACCTGAAAAAATGAATGAAAGCTCAATTTTTCAAGTAATCCATATCATTTTCAAAAACTACAATCTTTTTTAGGAAAAGAATTGAACGAAATAGGTTTCAAATTGCTTTACATTGTGTTTTTTAGGCCCGGTCACTCTCTGAACTCTCCACATGAATATACTTGAATACAATGCACCAGAAGATAGTTATACCGTTTAAACGGCAAAATTAGAGCATTTTTGGGAGTCTTTCACTCGTATGACTGTAACTAGCGAACTGATGGTCGGATTTGGCTCAAATTTTGACTGAGTTCCTAAAAAAGATTGTTGTTTTTGAAAATGATGTGCATTACTTGAAAAAATAAACTTTCATTCATTTTTTCAGGTCATTATCCATCCACCTAGTAAGTATTATCCATTCTTATCTTAGATGGCGAGACCGGCCCAAGAATCTTGAAAAGCAATTAACATTCTATCAAATAAATCAAACAAATAGTTAAACATAGTGAAATTAAATGAATAATATCGAAAAAGTGAAGAAAATAGTTTCACATACAGCGAACATAAATAAAAACTGCATGAAAAAAAAACTCAGACACGAAAGTGAGTGCACACGAACAAGAGAAAAAAAAACCAGCGACCAACGTGACTAAAGTGTAAACAGAGACGAAGAGAAAAAAACTCCGCGTAAGCGAATTGCAATGTGAATTTGTGCATTTCGAGTGTGACTTTGTCGCTTTATAAACATACTAAAATTAATATCATTGATAATGAATAAAATTGAATGACAATTTTTGCATGAAATTTAAAAATTGAGCGGGCAAAATCGCAAACGGTGAACAGAGACGTAGTGCAAAAAAAAAACTCCACGTAAGCGGATTGCAACTGAATGATGTATCAGGGAAAGTGATGGAACTATGTGATAAGCTTGAGAATGAAGCAAAACCAGAAAGTGAACATGAAACATGTGAAATATTATTGGAATTCTACAGAAAATTACGCACAATTCTGGAAAGAGAATTTGTTAATATTTTTGGACAAGTAGTGAGAGAAGAACTCGGTACATCTTCTTCGGATGAATATACCAATTACAATACCGACAGCGAATCATCATACCAACTTACTTCGGACGAAGAGCAATAGTGGAAATACATACAAAAAAAAACTATTTTCAAAATAGAGTTGCGAGTTTATACAAACATTTCCCAAATAATTTTCCAAGTGAATATAAACAGTTTGTTTTAATAAATAACGCATGAATAATTGACATTTCTTTTATATGGTCGATATCTAAATAATTTAAAGACATATATAATGGCTGAAGTCATAGCGACCATAGCTGGAGTAGTGACTTTAGGCGCGTTTGTACCGAGTCGTCTTAACGGCTCGGTGAAATTCCCAAAATATAGTTCAAGCAACATAAAAAGTCAAAATAAGCTGACGTCATTTTCATCGCACAGCGCGTGCGATGTTTAATACGAGCACAGAAACGTCGTCGTCTCGCGACCATGACTGAGTCTGCGACCGAACGCGTTTCAGAGCGGTTCATTACCAAGGAACAGAGCGAGAGTTTTTATGCCAGTGCGGCTTTTCTCTCAACAGTTAAATTGGAATGAAGAAAAGAGAATCTAAAGAGAATCTAAAGAGAAACAAATTCTTTCATTCAATTGATTGGTACTTATTATTTCAGTTTAGTTTAAGTTTCTTTTCCACAGCGGTGTGTAAGTTATTTGTGAAATATCAAGGTAAGCGCTTCTGCTCTGAACATTATGGTGCCGAAACCGTGGAGCTAAATCAGGTTGCAGACTTGCGAGATTGTGCATTTCATTTTGTTTGTGAGCACAAATAAAATGAGATATTTGGACAGAAAAAATTATTAATCAAAGTGAAAATTATGTGCATTCATATTTCTCGCATATAGGCATTTCATTTCAAGTGAATTTGAAATTGTTTCGTGAAGTGATGAAACATGTCATTCCGTTGTGAAATAGTTGAGTGTGTTCGAATGGGTGTGTGTGTGCGCTACGCGGCAACACAGGATTCCAACAAACACTCGTCCAAATTTAAGTTTCTTTTAGTCTCTTTCGTTACAGGCGACTCTCGCAGGCTAGCTAGCTGTCTCTTCAAGTGAATGCATTCGTACGAACATCAGAGCGAGAGCAATATAGAGATTCAACATGGAATCTCAGTAATTACCGAATTCGTTCAAAGCGAACGGCGCATCTGGAAAAGAAAAGAAATTCAGCTATTGCAATAGAATTCGTTCAAGAGCGAACGGCATAGCTATAGAAGAGAGAATTTCAGCACATAACATTCGGTGCGTGAGACGGCCGAATAAGTCGAACGAAAGGAGACGGAGAAGCACTTGGTGCTACAGTAATCTGTTCTCGTTCGCACAATTGTGTGTGGCACAAAGAGAATTGTCACACGCTAATGAGAGAGAGAGAGAGCTTAGACCAATAAATAAAAATTGGTAAATATGCGTGAGGATACACAAGCCAGAAGGAGCGAGCGAACGAAGAATCAATAAGTGCGATTCTTACTCCGACTTGTGTGACGCACAAACAATGTGATTGTGTGCAACAGAGTTAGAGCAAAAATTCCTAGAAAATGCGAGCCGTTTACGAAAGAGCATAGAATAAGCGGGTCGAAGAGAATGCATAAGTGGGAACTGAGCAATAACTCTGATCATGCCTGTGCATCGTCCTATGTAAGAGCGATAGAGAGCCATACAACCGATGTTATATCACAAACAAAGTATGCCTTGACAAATTTCGTCTCTGCAGTGGTTGATTAATGTACCTCCGTTGGATCGTTCTTCATCCGTGATTAACGGTTTACTGAGACTTAAGTGTGTGCATCTATGAGCGAGTGTTTCAGTTTGAAAGCAGACACCGACTTGAAAACAATTACCATGGCTGTGATCGAAGCAATTGACGCTTTTGTTCGCTCATTGAGGAACGCAGAGCGATTTAATCGGAGCAACCAGTTTGAGCAAAGTTCCATCGCGGATTTGCAGACAAGATTAAATCATCTTCGCGAAAATTATCGGCGATGCGTGCAAAATTTTTCCGCTTGGATCAATTCGAGAACAATTGGGGCGAATTCGACGGAAACGTTGAAAAATGGCAAGGCTTCCACGATCGATTTAAATCTGCGGTTCATGACAATGAGCTAATCACACCGGCTTTCAAAATTATGCATTTGTTGAAGTCGTTGAAGGGTAAAGCGAAGGCAGATTTAGGAGAATGGCCACAAACGGAGGCCGGTTATTATGAATTGTGGGAGCGTATGCAAGAGCTGTATGCGCAGAAATACTATACAGCGCGAAAGCTGTTGAACCGCTTTCTGGCACTGCCAGTTCTGGAAAGGGCATCGCACAACGCGCTTCAAAAAATGAGCAATGTTACGCACGAAGTGATTCGTCAATTGCGTACACTAAATTACCCCGTGCAGTATTACGATTTATTTTTCGTGGCTGGAATTCACACGCGGCTTGATAGTGATTCAAGCAAAGCATGGGAATTGGAGCGAACATCTGATACACCAACAATCATTCAAATGTTGTCATTTTTGGATCGACAAGCCAGAGCGGCGCCAAGTTCGTCTTCTTATGAACAGAAGAAACAAAATGACAATCGTAAAAGAGGTTACTTTGAAACCAAACCTGAAACGAGTTCAGATGCAAAGCGATCCAAACCGAACGGTGCGAATGAAAACAAAACAGATCGTACGTGCAAAGTGTACAAGGGCGCTCACGCAGTGCACAAATGTGAAACATTCAAAAAACTGAGTTTGACCGAGCGAAGAAAGAGCGCAAAAGAGAATGAGCTTTGTTTCAACTGTTTGAATCCGTCGCACACAAGGAAAGATTGCAAACTGTCCGGATGCAGGCGGTGCGAGAATAAGAAACACTGGATCAACTCAGTGCAAGTGCGGAATAATTCCAAGAAAAAGAGCAACCAACCGAAGGCAGAAGGCCAAAGTAGTTGACTAGTGTCGAATGCAAGCGCGCAAACTTTACCATTGGGTGTTGCAGTTGTGATTTTGCCAACTGCAATGGTGAAGGTTTTTATCGATGAAAAATTCATTGGAATTTATCGAGCATTATGTGAAACTGGCTCTGAAGCTAATCTTGTAAAATATCGAGCAATTAGACATTTTCTTTCAAGTGTAATGAAAATGAATGGATCAATAGTAGGTATTAATGCCGAGTGCGAGTGAAAAGAAAGATAAATATGAGCGTTCAACCTTGGTTTGGAGTACAGATGGGCGGACTATCTGATTAAGATTAATTAATCTTAATCAAACACCTAAAATTCGCGATGATTAATACGACCACTTAATCACTTAATCGCTATTAATCATGATTAAGTGATTGTGCAAGAGATTAATTAATC